TGTGTTAACATTTAGACCAGAGTCGAAATGTTAATGCCATAAGGGGGTTAATTGTTAAAAATATAGCATGTACATATGAAGACATCTATTGTAGTTGGTTATTACACAATGCACCATATTATTACATTTCCATCATAAAAAAAGTGCATCTGCTGCATTTTGTAATAACCACCACAATATGTAATAATTCATTATGAAATGGAATTGTATGACATATTGCATTCATACCATAACATGTCCTCACTGTAATACTACAGGTAGTCCTTCGCTATAAGCTGAACTTCCACGATTGCAAAGATACAGCCTCATGGTCCTGCCTCGATAGCAATTGTGGGAATGAGAGCATAACATCTCATGTGGTAGACACGGAGGACAGCAGAGTCTTCACTACAACCAGCACTACACCAACTACAACCACTACTCCACCCACAACAACTGCACCACCAACTACAACAACTACTGTACCAACTATCACCACACAGGCTACAACAACACAAACCATCATTCCCTCAACAACTACCCAGTTAACTACAACAAACACCACTACGCCAACCATGACAACCACACAAATTACAACCACTATTGTCCAGTCGGGCAATGGAGAGTGGTGTCAAACAGAGGGAATCATGATTCGACAGGTTCCCAGCAACGCTCTGTTTTGGCTGGAGTAAGTGCACAATGCAGAAATTATTTCACTGAGAGCCAAAAATGTAACTTTATTCCAAAAAGTGTGAGATAATCAAAATGTAATCTTTTCAGGCCCTGGAAAGAAACCCCCCTTTATTGCCATCAAGCAGGTCATGAATTGATTTAAATATTTAGGCTGTCGCGTCCCAACAATACAGTTCAAAGATTTTGTTGTCTTTGGTGGCTTCATGCAAAACCAGTATTCATTAACACACCTTGTATTCATATATGTAGCTGTATACAGCTACAATACATGCTTACCCTCAGGTTCTGTTTACCACCACAAACACTGACTTTCTCATCAACTTCTACCACAGGTTACAAGGTGGTGACTGGATAGCTAACATATATGGCATTGTACCGTCGAGAGCTTGGACTTGGGTAGAGCTGAGGAACCGGTCAGACACCGGCAAAGCCAACACATCACCCCAAACCACCATACTTCCAGCCGTGAGGTAAACCTACTCACCGCTTCTGTTGCTATCTTTTTGTTTGTAATTACATAACTTGTGTATTTAAATCATTTTATGTGTAAAAGTTCCACATCAGTATATCATGAGCACTTTCAGTTCCTTACATAGTCTATTGACGATTTCCTTATTATAAGATGAAAGGCATTCTTTGTTTCATCAATTATCTTCACATATTAACTCCAAAACTGTCATCTATCAGTAACTTCTGAACTGCCATTTTTTCATCAGATAGGTTCACAGGAGTTTAACTAT